ATGGTCTAATTTAGACACATGATCATTATCTTGAAAAGATGTCAACGTTGTTCTATAGAAAAAAACAAACAGTGTTCACTAATTTTGAAGACAGAAGTGGAACATCCTTTTATGTTTAATAAAAAGAAGAGGTATGTGTTATTGAATCATCTGATCTCTTGCGCCAATCACAACTAATTGACTGGTTTGAGTTGATTCTGTGAGTCGATTCCTGTCCTGGAGTCGATTCCGACCGACACTATGGCTATTGAGAGTAATCGAGGAATCGCCCCTTTTTGGAGATTGTTCTAACTGCAGAACATGAAATCCACGGGGAGGAGTCGGATCTAGATCCAACTCCTCCCACCTTACATACACCTAAACCTACCCAACTCCGCCCCCTGATCCCTAAACCCAACCCTAATCCTACCCATCTCCACCCCTTGGATCTTGATCTGACTCCTCCCCATGGATCTCATGTACTGCATTGAGGTGCTACTGTCTTTTGGAGGCGATTCCTTCACTAGAAGGTACCCTAGAAGTCATCATACACCAGATGCATGCCTAAGGTCTTAAAATGTGCACTATCTCCCTAGGTTTTAAAACAAACTCTTGTTCTCCAGTGAGGAAGATCCCTGAGGAAGCAAGCAGTTGTTGTAGGTCCTTGTTAGCTTAGTGACAGGGCGGCTGATCTGATTAGAGTCTGTTTGCCTGACCTCTATACCTCTCTAGTGTATTCTTCAGTTAAGTGTCTAAGATTGAGAGCGTGTGTTGGCATAGCTGCATAACACGGAGCAGAGCTGTGCGCCCACACACACACACACACACACACAGATGTGTTGTTTGATTATAAGATTAAGAGACTCTCCAGCTGCTGGACTTTTATTTGCTTTGGCAACTCTTTGATTGACTGAAGATTGATTTGATGGATAGGAGCTGCAGTCCTGGCAGGTAACTAACAGAATCGGGCCTTTTGATGGGATGATTGACTGTTTTTTTAATGCAGATGACTGATGAATTGTTTGACTGGAGATTAGATTCTGGTATGCATACCTGGAAAGTTTCTCCAGACCAATGCTATGTTTTTTTAACACAGTCTCATCCCAAAAAGTCATATAACTGACGTTTTGGGACGTATTTTGACCATACGTCAATATCCGCCTTTTTAGGGCCCCCTTAAACGTCGGTAGATGGCGATCCCGGGCCGTCATACAACTGACGCTTTACCTTTAACGTCAGTTAGGTGACGGGTTAGGTTTAGGGTTAGGTTAAGGTATGGGGTAGAGTTAGGATCCCATAACCTCATCTACCGACGTTTAAGGGGGCCCTAAAAAGGCGAATATTGACGTATGGTCAAAAGACGTCCCAAAACGTCAGTTATATGACGTCTTGGGATGAGACCGGGTTGGTTTTTTTTCCCTGGCTTTTATCACACATTCTCCACCCTTCATATGCATTACTGTTTAAAAAATTAATACTTTATAATTTCAGCAAGGATGCATTCAATTGATCAAAAGTACAGTAAATTGTACTTTTTTACAAACACATTAAAAAATTTGGTCACACTTGGGTCCACACTATTAACTAACTATTAACTATGACTTTTGCCTCCATAAATTTTACAACTCCCTCAGATTAAACAGTTGAGTTTTACCGTTTTTGAATCCATTCAGCCAATTGTCTGATATTTAGAAGAATATCAGTATCAAAACAGTTTCTGGTCTCATTGACTTTCATAGCAGGAAAAAAATATACTATGGAAGTCAATGAGACCAGAAACTGGTTACTGATATTCTTCTAAGTATCAGAAAATCGGCTGAATGGATTAAAAAATGGTAAAACTCAACTGTTTGACTCTGGGGGAGTTGTAAAATGAGCCTACTTCCTAAAAAAGTGGAGTATCCCTTTAATCATACAGTATTCAAGCTGCTATTGCAAAGTGTTGTTTTAATAAGAACTTGAGAATCACACCTGCTATAGAAAATGGTTATCAGTCCAAACACTGTCTGTGTGAACGTAGCTTTTGGCAGAGACGCTCTACCTCATTACGGTAATCTGCTCAGGGCCATAGTCTACCTGTCCCCCCACACTGTGGAGAGATATCATTTCCCCCTGGCTTTAATGACTCTTCCATTATTTTCCAATCTGGTCTCGTAATGACCCCTTATTATGCTGTTTGGACACAAACTGGAGTGACAGCACTGCAATTGAGTCACAGGAGACTTCAAATAACCGCACTCCACCTCAACTTCACAGGCCACAGATCCCCATCCCGTCCCTCCCACTGTCCTGTGATCAGTCGTGGAATTTAAAGCTCATGTGATTCACAGCAATGTCAGGTATTCAGCACTGCTGTGATCTTGATGTTCAGCCCATTGTTTTAGATGTGTTTTTACTGTAATGTCTTGAGTCTCCCTTGAGTATTACGGAAATAATATACTTAAGTGTGAATTGAATGCACTGTTTTCATACTTAAAGGATTAGTTCACTCCAGAATTAAAATTTCTGATTTTTGAGGAAAACATTCCAGGATTTTTCTCCATATATAGTGGAGTTTAAAGGGGACCAATGGTTTGAAGGTCCAAATTGCAGTTTCAGTGCAGTGCAGTTATGTAGCGAAACGATTGGAATTAAATAAATAAATATTAATATACTTTTTGACCACAAATGCTCATCCTGCACTAGCTCTGTGATGCACATCCATGACTTAATGCATTACGTAATCACAAACTTCAAACTTGTCCGACATCGTTGTTTTACCTTTTTTTTTGTAACGGGTGTTTAACGTAGTCTTTGCACGTTCGCTTTGTAAACAATGGGTCGGCACTTCCGTCTACGTCATGTGTGACCTTTCAGCGTGATTATGTAATTTGTGAAGTCGTGGATGTGCATCGCAGAGCTAGTGCAAGACGAGCATTTTTGGTTAAAAAGTTCATGCATTTTTTTTATTTATTTTTTTGGTGAAAATAACAGATCGTTTTTTATTTTTGATGCTCTTTTGTAGCTTAAAACGGTGGTGTCCATCGCAGACTTGCTAACTAGCTTTAAAGTGACACTATGTAAGATTTCTGGATTAAAATATCCAATAATCACTAGAGTAATGTTATATATTTTGTTGATTTGTGTACTTACATTATCTCAGATGTTTCTAAGAATGTTTAAATTCAGAGAAATTAGCAGTTTTTAAGCAGATGATTTCCGATTTCACCGACAGAAAACAAATCGTTATTAAAGGAGTAGTTCACTTTTGAAAAAACTTTTGCTGATAATTTACTCACCCCCATGTCATCCAAGATGTCCATGTCTTTCTTTCTTCAGTCGAAAAGAAATTAAGGTTTTTGATGAAAACATTCCAGGTTTTTCTCCATATAATGGACGTCAATGGGAACCAAACGGTTCAAGGTCCAAAAGACAGTTTCAGTGCAAACTGCAATCTGTTCAAAGGGCTTTAAATGATTCCAGATGATGAATAAGGGTCTTATCAAGACGAAACGATCGCTCATTTAATAAATAAATAACAAAGTTTAAGTTTTATAAGCTCAAATGCTCGCCTTGCTCTGTTCTGTGATGCGCGTTCGTGACTCTCCTGTTCAAACTCATTCATCAAAATGAACAAATCTTTTTCCAAGTCATTTGGTTCATTCGAACGAACAAAACAAACCAATTGACTCGGAAAAAGATTTGTTCGTTTTAATGAACGAGTTCGAACAGGAGAGTCATGAACGTGCACGTGTTCAGCTGGAGGATGCGTTTACCAGCGCCGCGGAGAGACACTTGATTTGTATACTTTCTTTTTCAGAGTGCTTACATTTTAATTATGTATCGGTTTACATAGACAGTTTAAACAAATTTGGGAAAAGGTTTTTTAGAAAATTTCTACCTACCCCACCTTTAACTGGAAGCCATAATCATTTTATTGCAAACCTGTATGACTTTTTAACCAGGAAAAAGGTTCTAAATGGAACCTTTTGGGTTCATTCATTATCATTTGTTTTGTCCTTTCCGGATTAATTATTTCATAGTATTGAAAAACATCAAGACCCTAAACTGTATTTATGAATGCATGTGAATGATCACAAAATTCAAGATATGGGGGTTAGAAAATGTATATATTTATTTTTATTCATTGTATGTACAGTAGTTCATCAGTATCACACGAAGAGTGCCATTTCAGTTTTTCTCCTCCAAAAATCAGCATGATTAAAATGTGATATTAAGTTACTACAACAATAATTTAATTACAACTACAACATGAATGAATAATAGCCTATAAAGAAACCTTTGCGCCAAAAGGGTTCTTTCTTGTCATTATAGACCCTTTTTTAGCATTAAAAGTTCTGTGGAGAACGCCAATGAACCCTTTTTACCAAGAGTGCAGCATTTCTACGGTGGTCCGCCTGCTATACCGTCACCAAACCAGCGCTAACCATACTAGCCATACTAAGCCTTGCAAATCCCCCTTTAATTTTTCCTCCTCCTCACACTGTCTCTGGCCTGCACACTGATCACGCTTTCTCAGCTGGAGCTCTGAGATGTGCTATCCTCAGTTCAACAGGCTCTTGTTGTAGGTAGGAGGACACAATATGTCTCTGCGAAGAGAGGAACCGTGAGAGATAAAGCACGTTTAATTTACAGCCAAACAGACGTGTGAGTCAGAAGTACGCGCTGAAGGGACATCCCGCAGAGCACAGATGCTGTACCTACTCATGATTTGCCCACCACACGGCCCTGGGTTTGACCTTTCCTCTACTCAACCTCAATCAATATCAATGATCTTGTTAGGATGCATCCAAACAATCTGAAGTGCTCTAAAAGAACGAGTTTAAGTGCTGGAGATGTTCTTTATGATTTGTGACTCATTTTCGATGTTAGTTTTTAGCAGCAAATCTAAAGTACCGTAGGCGTCAACCTTGCACCCGAGTTACGTTGTAGCCTCGGTTTATGTTATATTTTATGTACAATAGAAGCTGCATATTAATGTGGAAAATCTGTCTAACAGTGTTTATCACCTTATGTTTCAGGTTTCAGAGAGGCTGAAAGTAAAGGTTTCTCAGTGATTACTCGGCAGGCACGTCTTCTTGGCATCATCGATCTTCCAGGACGCATTGTGGTGAGTCATCAGTAGAGTTTTCATATTTTAGCATTTGAGATATTATTATAAAGGCCTCAACCGTTGTGAGGTTCAAACATTTCAACTTTGAAACCATTGGCTCCTGACCTTTTGAAGCAAAGACTATACGATAGGACACTTTTTTTTCTAATTATATGGCCAATGTTGTCTGATCCTGTGCATCTAGATACAATAAGGTGCACAAATGAGAATGAGATAATTTAGCTTTTGCAAGTATTTCCTCTCAAAATTGAGACAATCATTGCAGCACTGCCATTGTGGAAATTGCAGAGATGCAAAATGAACCAGTCTCTCTCTCTGGGAAATGGCACCTGTGGCGAAAATGAGATTATTTCCCCCAAAAAATGATGTTTTTTAGGCTTACTGCAATGAATATAGTAGGTCCAACCCATTTCCAAAGGCATTTTTGCAAAAATGGCGTTACGTTGCTACTAGTTTCAATGTGAAATGTCCAGTGAGAGGCGCTTGCAATTTTCTCCAAAACAGATCAACATGACTGTGCCGTTATTTTATTATGTTGATTCATGCATGTATCGTGGCAGTTTGGGAATGAAATGTCTGGTGGGTGGTCACATTCGAAAGCAACGTACTGTACCACCTACACCAAACTCTATCCTAAACCTAACTGATGGCGTTTAGAAAATACATTTGCTGGAGCAACCATGCCACTTTACCTGGTTTTGCTCAGCTTTGAGTTGTTCAACCTTGTTTCATAAGTGAACACTTAAGAACTTAAGAAACCACCTAGCTTAATTGGTTAACATTGCATTAAACTGTCAGGTGGTTGGTTTTGACATTGGCTGTAATGACAAATTCAATGTGTACCACTGTTGTTGAGGTCACGAAAAATATTCATGACAGTTATAATGGCCTCATGGCAGTCAATGTCAAAGCCAACCACATGACAGTTTAACTTCATTTAATGTCAAGTTGTCATGACAAAGACACTGACAGGTTATGATGTACTGGTTTATGTCAAGATGTCATAACAAAGACATCTCAAACAATGTCATATTTGCATTCAAAATGTCATAATTGAGTGAACACTTAATAACAGTTGTCATAAACATGCATAAACCCTATTTCATAATTATGACATTTGTCATGTCATGGTTATGAAGGTGTCATGCCAGTCTTACTCTCTCAGATAAATAGGTACAAAAGCTGTCAATGGGGCTGTACCTTTTCAAAAGATACACTTTTGTACCAAAGGCTGCATATTGGTACCTTAATGGCACATATTAGCACCTAAAATGTTCATATTAGCACCTGAAATGTAAATATTAGCACCTAAAATGTAAATATTAGCACCTATAATGTACATATTAACACCTGAAATGTACATATTAGCACCTGAAATGTACATATTAGCACCTAAAATGTACATATTGGCACCTGAAATGTAAATATTAGCGCCTGAAATGTACATATTAGCACCTGAAATGTACATATTAGCACCTAAAATGTACATATTAGCACCTGAAATGTACATATTAGCACGTAAAATGTACATATTAGCACCTGAAATATTAGCACCTAAACTCTACATATTAGCACCTAAAATCTACATATTAGCACCTGAAATGTACATATTAGCACCTGAAATGTACATATTAGCACCTGAAATATTAGCACCTAAACTCTACATATTAGCACCTAAAATCTACATATTAGCACCTGAAATGTACATATTAGCACCTGAAATGTACATATTATCACCTAAAATGTACATATTAGCACCTGAAATGTACATATTAGCACGTAAAATGTACATATTGGCACCTGAAATGTACATATTAGCTCCTGAAATGTAGCACCTGAAATGTACATAATAGCAGCTGAAATGTACAAATGTACATATTAGGACCTGAAATGTACATATTAGCACCTAAAATGTACATATTAGTACCTGAAATGTACAAATTAGCACCTAAAATGTACATATTAGCATCTGAAATGTACATGTTGGCACCTGAAATGTAAATATTAGCACCTAAAATCTACATATTAGCACCTAAAATGTACATATTAGCACCTGAAATGTAAATATTAGCACCTGAAATGTAAATATTAGCACCTGAAATGTAGCACCTGAAATGTACATATTAGCACCTGAAATGTACAATATTGGCACCTGAAATATAAATATTAGCACCTGAAATGTACATAATTGCACCTGAAATGGACAAAAGTTTACCTTTTGAAAAGGTATAGCCCCAGTGACAGCCTTTGTACCTTTATTTCTGAGAGTGTATGCACACACCCCTTCAAGTAAAGTGTTACTTGAATGTTTTATGAGATGCTGGTTTGTTGATCCCCATCATTGGATGTGGATCAGCAAACCAGCTCGGTTTTGCTTGAGAACAGCATGATTATGCTAGTCCAGCTTGACCAGGACTATCCCAGCTTTAACCAACATAAACCAGCCTGGGCCAACATGGATTTCTCAGTAGACTTTATTAATTAATCTGCCCCTGTAATTATAATTTGTGTAAAGAGGAATCAAAGTTTTTGGTGTTTCACTGCCACTTGTGTTTATTTCAGCTGGAAACTGTATGTACAGTGAGCTGAATATTTCCCATACCAGGTTGAATTTGAACATTATTTAGCCATTTTAGATGGTAGAAATTCTTCTGATTGTCGATTTTTTTAAAGACACGCAAATCATGGCAGATGTTTTGTTTAGTGCATGGTTTGATTTTGCACTTTAGTTACATCAGTGTGGAGCAGATAATCATTCTTAAAGGAGTAGTTCACTTAAAAAAAAAACGTTTGCTGATAATTTACTCACCCCCATGTCATCCAAGATGTCCAATTCATTCTTTCTTCAGTCGAAAAGAAATTCAGGTTTTTGATGAAAACATTCCAGGATTTTCTCCATATAATAGTCTTCAATGGGAACCAAACGGTTCAAGGTCCAAAAGAGAGTTTCAGAGCAGCTTCAAAGGGCTTTAAACGACACTTCATACTTCTTTCTTAGCAGCCCTGCCGTGAAACTATCTCCAAACGTTTTCATGTCGAGGTCAAAGCATGACAGGTGAGTCATGCGAAAGGGCCTTCAAATGAAGATTAAAAAGCAATACCATGTCAGCACAGCAAATGGTTAAATAAAGCCACGTTTTATTTGCTCAGAATCGAGCTCGGCATCGTCATTCCTTAAGTGGTTGTCAGGGAAACAAATCACTGCAATGCCGAAGCCCAAAACAACTCACATAAATGTTATGTTTTCGGCATCTAAAGGGCAGAGATGCGAACGTGAATACTTTTATATCCACAAACAAACAATCCCTTGCATTTGTAACCGGAACATTTAAGTGGGTGCATTAGCCGAGCTCATGAAATATTGATTGCTACGCATTATTTAGTGTTATCTGTGATAATGGGTGCTTTGCCATCAGGCTCTGCAGAGGATCTGTTCGGTCTCGGGATCTTCTGGTTTGAGTTCATGTTACATCCACTGTCAGGCAAAAGCAGATACCGATGCATTGGAAGCAGCTGACCGTTCGTCTAAAATGTGATGTCTTTTTCCCATAAAAGAACACCTGATTTTGTCCTTGAACACAGCACTCTGATGTTTGGAGAGTGTGTAGGCAGGTTGCTAGAGAATTAGTGTGTGTGGAGGTTGTGCAGACCACAGCCCATGGCCTACGATTGGCTTTGAGGAGGCTGAGAAACAATATAGGGCTCCTGAGAGGGGGCAGAGAGCCCCGCTGATACATGCAGCTTACACCGCCATGCATTTATATGCTGGTCCAGGTTGCTCTGTGTGGGTTAGTGCTGGTAATGCAAGATCAACCTCTGAACAACACAAATTTTCTCTGGGAACCATAGAGGACAGATTTTTTACACAGACTGTAAAACTTTCTGATGGAACGAGTTTCTGTCTTGCTGGTTCTCAGAGGTGAATGTTATTGCTCAGAGCTTACTTTTTCAGCTGAGAAGTATCACCTTTATCTCAGGTTTATATATTAGAAATAAAAAAAACTGAGACAATCAAATTATGTACACTGCATAACACCGATCATTTTGAGAAGACTTATTTGGAAGGATTTGATGAAATATAAATGTTTGAGTTCTCTGACTTTTAGGGCCATATGAATTCTGTTTTATTTTTTCCCTTTTTTTTTTAGTTTAAAATGTTCTGGAAATCATTTTTATTCCCATTTTATTTTTTCTGGATTCTGTTTGAATGATTTTAGTAATCAAAATGCATGTCTAATTGAAGTAATGAAACTTGTACAACTTTTTACAAATGTTTACTGAATGTTTGTGTAATGAATATTAAATAAAATGCATATTTAAAAAATGAATATTTTATATAATTTAATATGAAATAATATTGATTTAATACATTTACCCCTGGATTCACAGACGACTTAAGCTAGTGCCAGAATAAAATGCATGCTGAGCTGTTTTAACTGAAAGCAACTCGCACTGACCAATCTTAAAATATGTCACTGCTATTGTTTTATCACAAGATGCACACCAGTCTTTTTTTTTAAGGCACGTGTTTAAAAGCCACTTAAATGCCTGAATTGAACCAAGTAAAACCAGGCTTTTATATAAGACATTTTGAGTATAATTTATCTGAAAATTATATCTATAAAATGTAATAATAACAAATTAATATATATACACAGTGAGTATATCTCAGAAAAAAAGGTACAAAAGCTGTCACTGGGGCTGTACCTTTTCAAAAGGTACACTTTTGTACCCAAAGGCTGCATATTGATACCTTAGTGGTATATTAGCACCTAAAATGTACATATTACCACCTAAAATGCACATATTAGCACCTGAAATGTACATATTACCACCTAAAATGTACATATTACCACCTAAAATGTTCATATTAGTACCTGAAATGTACATATTACCACCTAAAATGTACATATTAGGACCTAAAATGGACATATTAGCTCCTGAAATGGATATATTCAGCTAAAATGTACGTATTCACACTTAAAATGTACATATTA